GGTTGTGGCTCTGCCCTTGCTCTGGAACAAGCCACCCGCATCCCAAGTTCCCAGCAGCTCCAGAGCAGCCCTTTGCTCTGCTACACGCGCTGCTGGCATGGCTGAGTCTGGGGTCTCCATGGAGACTGGCACAAGCCATGCAGGCAGGGGCAACTGGAAAATGGAGTCCCCAGCCGACTGGATCTGGCCCATGGGCTGGACGTTCCCCATCCCTGGTCTAAGGACATAGGCAGACAAGGCTCTTTGGGTAGATATGATATCTATTATTAGACCAACTAGTTGGAAAAATTATTCTTTGCAATCTTTCAGGCACAAACACCCAACACACCCAGACTGGCATACTCTTTCTGTTCTTTTTTTCTTTCTGAACATCTTCTCACTGCCCTGGACAAAGTTTCTACTATAACCAAACTTGCAGCTGCTTTGTTTAGCTTTAACTGGTAACTAGTAGCTTTTTAGCAAGCTCAGTTGCTATGCAGTGCTTCTCAGGAGCGGACACTAGCAGTTTTTATGGTTACAACTCCAGTAACAACATCTGAGTGTGGAGCAGCGATTCTCTGCCAGGTTTCTGCAGCAGTGCCCTTGGCAGCCTTTTGAGGGAGCCGTGGGGTGCCACATCACTCTTAGGTTTGCAGACACCTACACACAAGTCACAAGCTAAACCCAAAAATGTTGAATGAGAATCAGTAGTGTCACAAACATTTGGCCCTGCTATGGGATTTCCAAGTTCTTTGCAACAGAAGACTTGCTCAGTTGTTTTACTGTAGTCAAAAAATGAGCCATTGCTTTTGAAGCAGTGCTATGAGTCTATAAAGTTTGAGAGCCACTAATGTAGAGCAACATGGATGTAACTAGTTTGTGATGGAGCAGGCAGCTGAATCCAGAGTCAAGGCCTGGGGTTGAGCATTGGACTGGATTGCACATTAAGCATGTAAAATACTTGCAAATGAGTATAAGCTGCATGCTCTGTTAGAGTAGTTTAATTTCCTGTTATGATGCATCAAAGTAATCTATTAATTTTTAATTTAAATTATTAACCTAAAACTACTTGTACAACTGTTTTCTACACACAGAAAGTGCAAGTGGAAGAGAAGATGGAGTGCAAAAGTAGCAAATATCACTTCTGTGCTTCTGACCTTGGAGCCACTACTGCTATTCTACTATGACAGCTGCTTTAATAGTATGAAGGGGCTAAATGTTCTGTGCAGTTTAGGGGCATCTTGGTTATATCCCTTCTGGCTGTGCCACCTTTGCTGGCATTGATACTGGCTGGGGATAGTATAGAAACTTTTATGGGGTCATCCTTCGAGAGTCCTATGTAGTGCTGTGATGCTCAGACTCCAGCAACAAGGAGTGGAAAGTGGCAATGACCAAAGGGCTTGGCCGTAATATAGTTTGTTACTTGGTAAACCAGACAAACTATGACTGGTCTGTTTGTGTCAAATAGAAGGTAAACCATACTTGGACATAAAATTAGTTGGGAATTTTTTTGATGGATTGGTTTAATTGAATTTTAGGGAGGAAAGGTCTAATTTTGATGACGGTTTCATTGGAACGTTTTCTTGGGCACAGGATAGAATGTCATGAGAGCGAACTATTCAGTTAGGAAAGGGAAGACCCAGGGTCAAGTGTTGGCTCCAAGTCATGTAGAACCGGATGGGGATGTTTTAGTTTCTCCTGTTGGCAATATTCCATTTTGTTTAAATATTTTAAATATTCATTAGCCTACAGAAGGGGAGAGGTTGGTATGTAGTCTAGCAGTTAGGCATTTCTCTAGTGTGTGAGAGACTCCTGGTTCAGGTACCTGCTCTGAATTCTGTCTTGCTCATCTTACACCTGTTTGAAGTGATAACTTTTCTTTCATGTGTTAAGTAGTTGTTAGCTCCAGTACTTGTGAACAATATCCTTTTATCTTGTTTTATTTGTGAAAAGTACTGGAAACACCAGTTGTGCCTAAATACCATGTTAAATGTATTTTCTTATGAATCTTTTAAGTAGATCATTTTCACTGTTGTCAGATATTTCTGAAGGTTACTTCCATTTACATTTTTTTAAGTTTCAACTTTGTAACCCTATCAATATGTCCATTACAACTGTTCAAATATATAGTAAACATATTTATAAGTAGTTTCTCAGTCTCCTACTCCAGGGGTGCTCAGTCTGCAGCCTGCCGGACGTGGCATCTGGCCTGTAGAGCTCCACATGTGCTGGAAAATTTGGCATTGGGAGTGGTGGCAATTAATACGGCCACCCTCCCTTGCTGCCAAATTCTCAAACTCCAAGCTGCTTCCCCACCATGCAGCTGGATCAGGGCAGAGCAGTCAGGTTCAGCCACTTCAGCTTCCTCCCCTCCACTGTGCCTTACTCCTTTTCCATATACCCCCACTGTCTGTGGGGCCAGGTTGAGGCTGAGCTGTCCCATGCCCTCTTCCATGTGGCTGGATGGGATTTTGCCATGCCCATCCATGTGCCCAGATCAAGACCACCAGCTGGATCTGGCCTGATCAGGCACTGCTATCTGGTCCACTGGGCAAAAGGGTGTGCACCAGTGTCCAACTCTAAAGAAGTTACAAAATATATTAGTTGTCAGTTGGAGAACAGAATTATAAAATTTCAGTTTGAAAAGTCAGAGTTTTAAAACTGCAAGTTATTAAAAGTGGTCAGAAAAGAAATCTTAATAGCTGTCCTGCCTGCTATAATATAATTATCTTTTTTATTGCTAAAAGTGCATCTTTCTTTAAGACAATTACATTTTCTGTAGGAAGTTTCATTAAATGTTCAGTGTTTAAATGTTGAGCGCATCCTCGGCATTGAAGGATTATTTCAAAAGAAATCTTATGAGGTTCAGTAAGGAGAACTGCGAAGTCCTGCACTTAGGGCAGAACAATCCTTGGCTAAATAGGGAAATCCAGGGGAGCCGAAGGGCAAAAAAGAAGGCATACAGGTGGTAGAAGCAATGGGGAAGCTACCAAGAAGGAGTATACGTACTTGGCCTGCACTTGCAGGGAGGCAGTTAGGAAGGCCAAAGCAACTACAGAGCTGAGGCTGGCAACACAAATTAATGACCATAAAAAGTCTTCTTTTAGGTATGTAGGGAGTAAAAGGAAGGCACAGGGCAGCATAGGACACCTTGCTGAACAAAGAAGAGCAATTAGTGACGGGGGGGGGGACAAGGGTGAGCTATTCCATGAGTTTTTTGCCTCCATGTTCCTGAACAGGGCTCAAGATAAGTCTCCTATTGGGTTCTTAGATGGTCATCAGCGGGACACCGGCCTACCAACTGTTGACGCTGACTTGGTGCAGTGTCACTTGGATGGCCTGGATGTGTTCAAGTCAGCAGGCCTGGATGAGCTGCATCCGAGAGTACTGAAGGAATTGGCTGGTGTCATAGCAGAACCATTGGCACGGCTGTTTGAGTACTTGTGGTGCTTGGTTTAGGTCCTGGAGGACTGGAAAAGGGCCAATGTGGTCCCTATTTTCAAGAAGGGAAGGAAGGAGGATCTGAGTAATTATAGGCCAGTCAGTCTCGCCTCCATCCTTGGAAAGGTCTTTGAAAAGATTATGAAGGATCATATTTGTGGGAGTCCAGCAGGAAAAATAATGCAGCAAGGAAACCAGCATGGATTTGTAGCTGGTAGATCATGTTTGACCAATCTAGTTTCGTTTTATGACAAGGTCACAAAATGCTTAGATGCAGGAGTAGAGGTGAATGTTGTTTTCTTGGACTTTAACAAGGCCTTCAATACGGTATCTCATCCTATTCTCATAAATAAATTAAGAGGCTGTGACAGATGTTTACATGAACTGGTGGGTGGCGAATTGACTTAGTGGTTGCACCCAGAGAGTGGTGGTAGATGGGTCTGTATCGACCTGGAAGGATGTGGGTAGTGGGGTCCCACGGGGTTCAGTCCTTGGACCTGTACTCTTCAGTGTCTTCATCAGTGACTTGGATGTGGGTGTGAAGTGTACTCTGTCCAAGTTTGCAGATGATACTAAATTGTGGGGCAAAGTGAACACACCGGAGGGTAGGGAATGATAGCAGGCAGACCTGGGCAAGTTAGAAAAGTGGGCAGTACACAATAGGATGCAGTACAACAAGGACAAGTGCAGAGTGATGCACCTAGGGTGCAAAAATATCCAGCACATCTACTGACTGGGAAGTGACCCTTTCACCAGCACAGAAGTGGAAAGGGATCTCTGAGTCATAGTGGACTCCCAAGATGAACATGAGTTGTCAGCATGACGAAATCGTCAGCAAAGCCAGCCGCACTTTATCATGCATCAGCCATGACAAATAGATCCAAGGAGATGATACTTCTCTATGCAGCATTGGTCAGACCACATTTGGAGTACTGTGTCAGTTATGGGTGCTGTACTTCAAGAAGGATGCTGATAGACTTGAGAGGGTCTAGAGGAAGGCCGCTCGCTCGTATGGTTAGGGGCCTGCAGGACAAGCCCTATGAGGAGAGACTGAGGGACCAGGACCCCTTCAGCCTCTGCAAGAGAAGGCTGAGAGGTGATCTTGTGGCTGCCTACAAATTCATTAGGGGGATGCAGTAAGGGATTAGAGATGCTCTGTTCACCAGGGCGCCTCTTGGGGTAACAAGGAATAAAGGTTTAAGTGACAGAGAGCAGATTTAGGCTAGATATCATGAAAAACTTCATGGTAAGGGTGGCCAAAATTTGAAATGAACTTCCAAGGGAGATGGTGCTCTCCCCTACCTTGTGAGTCTTTAAGAGAAGGCTGGATAGGCATCTGGCTGGGGCCGTCTGACCCCAGCACTCTTTCCTGCCTAGGCAAGGGGTCAGACTCGAAGATCTGTTGAGGTCCCTTCTGACCCTAGCATCTATGAATATATGAACCTATGAATCCAATGCATCTGTACAGGTTGGAGACTGACTGTCTAAGCAGCTGCTCTCCAGAAAAGGACCTGGGGGTTACAGTGGACAATAATGAGCCAGCAGTGTGCTCTTGTTGCCAAGAAGGCTAATGGTGTACTGGGCTGCATTAGTAGAAGCATTGCCAGCAGATCAGGGGAAGTGACTATTCCCTACTACAGACAGGATGTAGACCAGGGGTGGGCAATTATTTCAGGCGGATGGCTGCATGCCGAGTTTTAGCAAGCCATCAAGGGCCGAATGACAGGCAGCCAGGGACAGATAAATACTAATTATCTAAATTTTTTAGGGTCCCCACAAGCTGGATAGAATGGACTCGCCCACGGCCCCCAGGCCAGGTGACCAGCTTGTAACCTGGCCCCGCTGTGAGCCTGGCAGTGGGGCTGGGTTACAAGCTGGTGCTGAGCGTAGGGGTGGGGGGGGGGGAGGGGACAACCGCTCCTCACCCCATGCACGGCACCCCACGCTGCAGCCACTCGCAGCCCGCCTGGGACTCCCTGTGCCTGCTCCAGATAACCCTGCATGGGCTGTGAGTGTCTGCAGCAGGGAGCACCGGCCATGGGGTGGGCGAAGGGCCTCTTTTCTCCACACAGGGAAGGAGCCCAGGGAAAAGCTGAGTGCGGGGAACAGCGGCCCCTCCCCCACCCCATGGCTGGCACTCCCTGCTGCAGCTGCTCGCAGCTGGCACAGGGCTGTTGGGAACAGGCACAGGCAGCCCCATGTGGGCTGTGAGCAGCTGCAGTACGGGGTGCCAAACATGGGGCGGGGAAGGGGCCGCTTCCCTCCATCCCACACTCCTTCCCTGCCTGGGGTCCCCCTGCTCTTCTCCCCTGCACTTACCTGCAGTTCCAGTGCAGGGCAGCCACCTGCTCCCAGGCCAGAAGCCCGGCAGGGGCTTCTAGCAGGGCTGGGCAGGCCCTGCTGTTGTTGGAGCCTGCTGGGCTTCTCCTGGGTCCTACTGCCCTTGGTTCCTGTCATTTTTTTACAGGAATCCAGGGCAGAGAAGTATTAATAATTTTTTAGAGGCCCAGTGGGCCGGATAGAATGGCCTCACGGGCCGTATTTTGCCCACCCCTGGATTAGATAGTTGGGGATAGTCCTGCTTTGAGCAGGGGGTTGGCTTAGATGACCGCTTCAGGTCCCTTCCAACCCTCATTTCCTATGATGCTATGGATAGTAGTCCAAAATGAGAAGTTGAAGGGCAGAATCTTGGTTTCCTCTTGCATCTAGTGGGATTTTAACATGTGAATCAGCATTTTAAAACAACTTTCTTTCTGCTTTTGACCTGATTGAATGCAAACCAAATAGGCCTAAAATCAAATGTAGGAATACTGGTTTATGTCTTCCCTTGCAAAATAGAAAATATGGCAACTGAAAATAGGTTAGATTCTTTTTTTAGTTTTAATTTGAGATCTTTTGGTTTGGTTGTTCGAATCCTGCTTAAAAGCCCCTGCAAGAAAGTGGAAATGTTTCTAATTGGCTTTAATGTTTTGGGGATCAGGCAGATCCTCACTAATTTATCTAGTAGAAAGGGTTATGTGAATTAATCACTTGCTAAAACTAAACAGACTCCTCATATCAATTAATACCAGACTCATGCGTACAAATTAAATTTTGGGGAGTATCACAGCCTGTGATAGAGGTTATATGGGATTATATTTCCCTCTTCATAACCGAATCCTGAGTGATTTTTTCTTTTTATTTCCTTCTCTTTCCACACACACACACACACCTTGTTCCATGACATGGCTCCGGCGAAACAGAATTTGAAAGGGAGCTCTAAGGGATTTTCTCAGTCCTTTTTTGTTAAACTGAAGTAACTGTCTCCTGTTTCTTCCTTGCGCACATCGTGACTAACATGCAGCCTGTGTATACCAATTAAAACATGCTAAGAAGGACTTGTTCTAAATGTAGTGGTGCTTTCTGAACAAGACAGAGTGTACGTAGTTTTAGCCTGTGTTGTAGGGGCTGTCCCCTCTCAAGTAGCTAATCACTTCTGAATTTTTGTGCAAATGGATTACTCGGTCTACTAAAACAATACCAAAAAGATGTATTTTGTATAATATCAATGAGAATAATGTCAGATTTCTGTTCTGACATTGTCAAAGGACTTTGTCAACAAACACTGCTTATATACAGTTTTTGTGTTGGATAATTAGATCAAGAGGAAATAAATCCAACCTTGCTTTGGTTTTGATTAGCTGTTGATATGCATATGTAAATATATTTGTATTTTTTCAGGTTTCAAGAGAGGTGCAGATCCTGGAATGCCTGAACCAACCATTATGAGGTATATGTACATTGTAACTACACATGCAAGAGCAGTGAACTAAAACAAAAATTTAGACTTCTTTTAAGCAGAGGTTGGCAACACATGGCTCACAAGATGGGTTCGGCTGGCAGAGCCACTGAGTCAGGCCTGCAGAGCCCAGGCTTTACCTACGTCTGCTTCAGAGCTAAGCTGCAAGGAGCTGTGCTAGGCAACTTCAAGCTATGCCCTTGTCACTACTGCTTCTTCTCCCAGCTTCCCCCCCAGCTGAGGCCTGGGTGCAGTTGCTAGCTGGTGGGGAGCTGTGCTGGGACTGGCAACTGTAAGCTGCACCCACCCTGCTGTCACTTCTCCCTCACCCCCCACAAGGGCCCTACTGCAGCATTGTTAGAAACTCATACGGGCTGTCAATCTAAAATGGAGATTTCCAGTTTTCTGACTGTCCAATCTTGCAGAATACTGTTCAGCTGTCCTGGTAAATAAGAAGAAAGATTTGTGCAGCAAAAGGGGTGGGAGAGTATCTCTCAGTCCACTAACTGAAAGTTGTTTTTTCTTTCTTTTTTGTTTAAGAGGGGAAAAACACTTTAGAACGCATTGCTATCCACCTCTTAAATCTTGTGTGGATGTAGAAGTTTACTACACTATTAGAACTCTATTGGCTCTTCTCTTTCTTAGTATAACTCCTTTGTGTGAGCTGTTCCTGCACCTCTGAATTTCTCTACTGCCTTCTTGTCTAGATTAAAATAATGTTCTGAGATGGGGATTGTCATGCACAGCAGAATCTCTCCTCCAAAGAGTTAGGCTGACTTCAGAACCAACTTGTCCTGCACTCGGTTACAGTCTAAGTTGCATACAGTGCACTTGTTTCACAATGGGAAAATTATCCAACCTGTGGGGGTGGGTGGCTGATCTCCAACTCATTACAACTGCTGTCACTGTTGAAATTCCACCCTGAAACTGTGACCAGGATCTTCTAAATCATGTGGTTTAACCAAAATAGTTCAGGTTCTGTTAGCAGAAGTGGGTGCCTTTTGTTATGGCTTTCCTGTGCAAGTAAAACCCATCACTTTTATCAACTCTGTAGGTCATAAAGTGATCATTGTGGCCCCTTTAACAACTGGTGCCTCAAGATGCATCTGTGTTACCCTCCCAGAATAACTGCACTACTGGACTCTGTCAGAAGCAGTACAGATATATACATACTCTGGCTCTTCCTTGTGACAGCTGATATCTAGATCTTAGGTCCTGTCAATTTCAGGGGTAGCAGTAAAGTTAAGGAATTCTGACTAACAATCTAAGGTATTCATCTTGATCCCAACAGGCTCAGGGCATCTTAATGAAAGCAAATTCCTGAGCAGAGGCTGAGGGCACACTCTGAGTACTTGTATTAGGGTATTAGAAAAATAATACTAGTAGGAACTTTATACTGTTGTGTAGTTCATTCCCTTACTCAGGGCAAAATCATCCCTATCTAAACCACCTGAAGCAAAATAGTTATCCAACCGATACTTACAACTTCCTATAAGGGAGATAGGTAATCTTTTCCAATGCTTAATCATCCTCATGTTTAGAAAGTTCTTCGTGATATTAAATATAAAACTCCCTAATTGCAATTTAAATGTTACTTGTCCCCTGTGGACATAGGGAACAGTCAATTTCTATATTGTTTAGAATAACCCTTAATGCATTTAAAAACTTAAAATCCTTCCTTCATCTTTTCTTTAAACTAAATAGCTCCAATTTTTCCAATCTTTCCTTGTATCTCATAATTCTATGCCTATAATACATTTTGTTGCTTTCTGGAGTGTGAAAAGCTGAAAACAGGTCAAGGTATTGCCCTTAGGAGTACACATTTCATTCATAGACAGTGCTTTGCAAACCTTTTAGGGCAGGGAAGCCCAGCCCCCAGGCTAAATCCAACCTGCAGAGTCATGGCATCTGGGCTTCAGGGCTCCCCATAGTTTGAGAAATTTGGCAGTGAATGAGCAGTGGCAGTTAATAGGGCTGCACCTCTCCTGTTGTCAAATTCGCAAGCCCCACCTGGCCAGATTGAGGCCAGGCCATGCCTCTTCCCCTCTCCCCGGCCCTTCCCTCAGTGAGGCCAGATTGGGGCTGAGCTATGTCCTTTTCCCCCTGCACAGCTGGATTGAGGCAAAAAGGTTGAGCACCACTGTTGTAGGCTATTCATTTGGAAAAAGATGCAGATAGGAAACACTGGGAGCGTCTATGCATTCATTAACATGCCTTAGATACTGCCCATTTAGTTTAGTACTTGCTTAATAAAGTACTAACTGGATGTGCATTAATGCCGGCGTATGGTTGTTTGTGATGCTTACTGTGTGTTAGCCTAATAACACTCTACAATAGGCTGTTAGCATGGTACTGTGCAGTGTTACTAAGCTAAAGTACAGTAAGTATCTCATGTAGACTCACCTACTGAGTTGGAATATGGCAGGTTCTCACAGGTTTCTAGAGTATCCTTCAGATCTTGTGAGGTAAATTGGAAAGCACTTGTATTATATTGATAAGGCCCTCTATGTTAGAAAGTCTATTCTAGTGCTATCCAAACAAATATTTCATCCTTGGATTTTCCTGTGACTAAGATAGGAAAATCTGAATAGACTTCAGTTTGGAGTTAAGCACTCAAAATTCAGAGAGTGGAAGTTAAGGTTAGTTCTTCACGTATGTGTGATAATAGGATCATTGTATGATCACAGTTATCTAACTTGTTTAGCAGGCTTACTTGTTGCCCTTCTGAACAGGCTCAGGCCAGTTTACAGAAAGAGGGAATGAAATAGTATGGCGCACTGTTTTTATAAAATAAATAATTAGATGTTACTGACTATCATTGATTATTAATTTGATTCAGTATGAACTTGACATTTTGAAATTAAGTGTATTCTTTATTAAAATTTTCCTCTGCTCAGGGTGGATAAAAATCAACAATTAAAAAAAAGGGATTCTTTTATTTAAATTAGATGTTTTTATTTAATTGTATTTTTTTGTTAAGATGCTTTAAAAAAACAAAACTCATATAAAGATAGTTTTAAGACACTTTAATTCTCTGCAAGTTTGTGTACACAAGTCAAGCCCTTACCTTTCTCTAAAAGTGAAAAGTTTCAGGAAGTTAACTGAGTAAAGGATATCAAACAGTGATTAAATCAAGACTTCCTGACCAGTCATTTAAATAGATTTGATTTAAATCAAATCCACCCTGCCTCTGCTTCATTTATGTATGCTAATTTCTTATTGCATGGTGCTGATATCCTGGCATTGGTAGTATTTTTATACTTATCTCTACTTTTTGATTTTATTGAAGTGTGTTTGTAAATATTCAGGTTTTCATAGAATCATAGAAAATTAGGGTTGGAAGGGACTTCAGGAGGTCATTTAGTTCAACCCCCTGCTCAAAGCAGAACTATCCCCAATTAGCTCTTTCTAGCCAGGGCTGTGTTGACCCGGGCCTTAAAACCCCCCAAGCATACCCCCACCTCCCTGGGTAACCTGTTCCAGTGTTTCACCACCCTCCTAGTAAGAAAGATTTTTTAACATCCAACCTAAACTTCCCTTGCTGCAACTTGAGACCATTGCTTCTTGTTCTGTCATCTGTCGCCACTGCGAATAGTTAGTTCAGGGGTGGTCAAAATGGCAGATCCAGCCGGCAGCTGAATTCCACTTTTCCCAGCAACCCCTGCCTGGGTTGCTGCAGCTGGCTTCCATGGAGACCGTAGTAGCAGCGGCACCCTGACAGCATGGAGCCAGGATGTCCATGGAAACTGGCCTGAGCAGCGCTGGCGGGGAGCTGCACCTGGGCTAGGGCTGGGATTTTGCAGTGGTGATAGCATGGTTCAGAGCTGAGCAGAGCTGTGATCCACTGCTTGCATGCCCCTGCCCGAGGCGTGTTGGCAGTGGATCACAGCTCTGCCCAGCTCTGGACCACACTGTCACTACCCCAGGATGCCAGTCTTGGAGCAACTCCCCATCCAGCTGCACTCCCTGTGAGGGATGCTGGGGCCGGTCTCCACAGAAACCCTGGCCTTGTGCTGTCATTGTCCTGCTGCTCTTGGAGTCTTTATGGAAACTGTCCGCAGCACCATGGCCAGGGGCTGCTGGTAAATGGAGTCTGTAATGGGTCCAACCCTGGTTTAGCTCCATCTTCTTTGGAACCATGCTTCAGGTAGTTAAAGGCTGCTATCAAATCCCTCCTCAGCCTTCTCTTCTGCAGACTAAATAAGCCCAGTTTACTCAGCTTTTTTTTTTAGTTTTTTGGGTTTTTGTTTTAGTTTTCCATGTAAGAGACTTGAAAGTGAAACTGCATTTACTTCTCCTTTTCATGATGGAAACTTCAGTTATTCCTTGGTAGGAAATATTGCATCATCTATCAATTTTGTTGCTAAAGATGATGACAGCTTAAACTTTTATATGTAAAAGATGTTAACTCTGTTAGCCTCCCACTATTTAAACAATAGGGGAATTCCATTTTCAGGAATCTGTGATGTAGAAAAGCTTTTGTTGAAATCTGAGCCACCTTTTCAAACTTGGAATTTCCACTGCCTGCAAGTTTTAATATGTACCCCAAAGCAGGATTCCAAAACTTTGGATGCTGAGTGGTGAACTGCCTTCAGCTAGCCAATAGGAAATTGAACTCCATCCATTCTCTGGATACTAGACAACTCTTTCGATGCAAAGTCCAAAGTACCAAGTTGTTTAAGGGTAGTTGTCTAATTGAGCATGGTGTGATGATTATGGTGTACACGTTTCACATATTAACCTCGTGTTTAAATCACTTGCCCAGGAAAAGCATAGGCCCTCCTCAGCTTGAGGGATGCAAAGCCACATCTCCCAAGAGAATGCTGTTACTACCATACTGCGGAATAACATTCACCCTTCCTTGAGGCTGGGTTACTGTGCAGCCAAGAATTCAAGAATTATTTAGCCAGAGAAAAAATAAGGGAGCATGCCTATAGCCTAATGATGAGGAAATTCCTCTAGAAGGGTGAGAGAAAGGAGAGTCTTAGATTCTGGTCCTTTCTTCAAAATTTATTTTTCATTTTATATGTTGATTGTCTCATGTAAAGTTCTTGAAGTCCTAGGAGCAGGGACCAGACTGCAGTACTCCTGCTGTACTTTTGCTTAATTAAATGTACCTTGGGTAGGCTCAGAGCATGTGTAATGGATCAGACCTTTTGGGTCACTAGACAGTGTTTTGACAGTGCCTCATGTCTGTTCTGGATTGCAGCTGAGCTTAGCTTGGAGCTGGATGCAGTAGCTGCTCAGGTTGCTTTTGTACCTGTATGGGAATCTGAGAATCTTTGCCATCAAAATATGGGCACCAGATGATTTTAGGTGCCCCAGCGCATTTTGTGGCCACTAGAGCAAAGGCATTCTTCATTATTTTTGTGACTTGGACACCTAAATTCTGCCAGACCTAATTAAGTGTATATTTTACCGGGTTGGATCTGACACAGATGGTCTTCATGTTTTTACCTAACTAGCCCTTTGAAGTCATTTTCTCAACTTAATATGCATAGATACATAGTAGGAGTGAAATAATACAGGTTTCCCTCACCAACTGCTGTGATTAAGTTCCTGAAAGTTCCTGTGGTTGGCAAGACAAAAGGCTTATGGGAAAAATGGCAGGTGGCGGGCTGATGCGTGGCTACGGAAAATCATGGTTACTCAAAACTGTATACCGTGGTGGTCAAAATGGTATCTAGAATATTAAGCATGGATACTCAAAACTGTGGTTGGCGAGGGAAACCTATATGCCTCACAGCACAGTATGTTCTCTGATATGAATCCACTGAAAAGAAAGTAAGGCAAATTGCTCTACCCTTGGGCCAACTCCTCCTGAGCTGTACCTGGCAATTCCCTTGAGGAGCTTTTCTGGTTCTCCCCTCCCTGTCCATTGCCAAGCTGATTACTTTGTCCTCCAATCTGTGGCTGTGCAAATGTTCCTGAGAACTGCTAGCACACTGTTCCTGTCCTGCGTGCACCAAACCACATGCACCTTGCAGACTGTGTCTTTGCCTCATGTTTCTACATGCCACAGTTCTCTAGGCAGGGAAGGCCTATCTATGGAACTCCATCCATGGAGTTGGGTGAGCCCTTGAACACCACTGCCTCCTGCTTTAAGTTGCCTTGAGTCTGGGGTGTGTAGGCAGTGGAAAACGCTGGGTTCTTGTGGGAAAGGCTGGTCCTGTCTGAGCTGAATTGAAAACCAAAGTGAATTGAATACTGTATGGTGAAAACATACCAGGGTGAACAATACTTTTGCTGTATTGTTTCATCCCTGCTGTCCAGCATAAGCTATGTATCTGCTTTCTTCAGTATGAACATTTATACCAACTCATGACAATAAAGATCTGACTTTTTTTCCTTTTCTTCCAGTCTTCTTTGGGGATGAAAGATTTGGCTCTACAGTACTGTAATCATTTGATGGGCAGAAAAAATGAAGATGTGAACATTCCACAGGATAAGGAGAACATTTGCCAATCACACTGACTAGCTTGTACAGCATCCTGAGGACATAGATGTACATAAGACAAAATGTATTTCTACTGATGTAATTTATTTGCTTTGCACTGTAGTTAAATAAATACACTTTGATTCGGTGTGTGTCCTCTCTGATCCTTTAAGATTGACTTAATATGGAGATATTTTGAATTTTTTAGTTAATATTTTAAAATTATATATCAGTGTTTTTTGGTGGAAAACTTTCAGTCCTTTTAATCTGGAATGTTACTTCCATAATGTCCATGTACGGGATAAAATATGCACCAATTATTGACTAAACAGAATTGAGGATTCTCTGACTAATTCTGTGTTCTCAGGTATATCATGACCTTTATATTTCAGTCTTGCTTATTATGATATGCTTATTATGACTGCTATCATTCATTGTATAGATTAGTTCATCAGGTATTCTGAAGTATAATGTTTTAAAATGCTGTATTCTTTAAATGTAAGCATCAGAATTTTCTTCAGACTTGAAAAGTAGTAGTATCAGTGAGCTTTACACAAGATATTTGTTCCTTCAAGCTATGTATCTGTAGCTGTTTAGCCTGTATGAGACACAAGGTAGTGGTACTATTTGTGGCTGTAGGTACATCTGGGAGAGTGAGAAAATGAATATAGAGGAGAATAAAAAGACTTAATTATACTGGATATTTGTGCTAGAATATCAGTAATACAGTGAACAACAGTGGAATTCTCATTATCATCAGTGAGATTTAGAACCAAATGGGAGCAGTTCACCATATTGCAAAACTCTTATTTCAGGCTTTCTTTTTGTATCGAACAATATTGTATTTTTCCCCTCAAATTATAAGAACTATCACCTTATAGTCCTTAAACTTAAATTCTGCTGATCCTGGAGGATCCTAGGAATATACCAGCAGGCAATATTTTTGTGCCATAGCTTTGATTAAACTGCATAAAATCTATTAATTTATTAATATTAGTGAAAGTTACTTTTGTACATGGAGGGAAACTGTAATGAATAAGATGTACATTTAAGTTCTTTTCTGCAACCACAGGTCCAGGTAAAATGTAATTTAAAGCAAAAACATTTAACAAAGCATTGCTTTTGGAAGTAGGTTAAGAGGTCTTTGCATCTGTTAAGTAGCAATGGCTGATAAAGCTTGTCTCTTCCAAAATGTGATATGCTGGTCTGTATTTGTGAAGTTATAAAATAACGATGTCTTTATATTCTCAAGCAGAATATAATACAACCTATTTAAATAGATAACTTGCTTTCTCTTTTTGACAGGAACAGAGTTTGTTTAAATTATTACAGTATATATTGTCTCTTTTTGTTAGTATTTTGCAGCTCTAATTGTGATACAGTAATATTAGTAAATCAGCTGTATTTGTTGTAGAATGAGACCTTTTTCCTTTTCTATCTGCTATCAAAAACACTCACTGTACCCATTGGATATAAGAAAATGGGTCAATGTGCAGTAATGAAGTAAATCATAACAATGAAAATTTATAAATAGAAAATGGGGGAGGCAAAAGTGAAAAATGGGAAAAATAAACAAACAAGAATTAAGAAAGTAGGTAAAAGTAGGATAAGAGAATACTGAAGGAGCCAAAAATGGGCAAAACCCAAGTAAATATAGCATGTCTAAAAAAAAAAAAACCATAATGGCTGTTACATGAATTGGTGCTTAAAAGGGGAGCGGTGGAGGAAGACAAAGGTTGGCAAAATAAATTGATAGCCAGAGGCAGTTAGTTAATGGTAATAAATTGCTGGCTGAAAGGGAGGGGGGAAAAACTCAAGAGGTTAGCATAATTCTTCCATGACTTCTAACTTTTTCTTGTTTCTTCCACCTTTTCTCAATGTTAATTTGAATTCATTGTGACCGCACATGTCTAAAGATATTTGAAGAAGTGCAAGACTTGGGTCTTTGTCCCTCCTTAGCACAGTCTGTACCATCCTGTTTCTGCAGTTCCTAGCACTTCTGATTGGTTTCTTTTAATACTACTGCAGAGCAAATAAATATTTTGATTCTTTTCTAACCATTATACAGAAGTAGCAGGCACATTTCTTTTCCAGTGCTTTCAGCAGAATACCAATGGTGTGCAGCAAGATCAGTACCAAAGTAGTTTGGGTTTTAAAGGTAAATCATTTTTCCCTTGTTGGTTGCACAGTGTTCAAAATAGAAGAAATGTAGTCAGTTTTCAAATAGGCAAACCAAGAAGCGGGCAGTGGGATATTCCACATTCCAGGTGGTGCCTTATGTTGGACATCATTTTTATAGTTAAAAGCAGCAACATTTTGCAATATGCAGAAGAATGGGCAGTCTAGCATGTTTTGAGAAAAAAATGCCACAAATATATGGCCCAATCCTGTATCCTTCCTGCAGAGAATTTTCACTGAAACTTTTTAAAATTTTAAAATGACTGCTTGTTTAATATGTCATTCAAAATGCCTTATTTGGTGTTGTACTTTAAAATGAGAAGTAGGTGAAATGGAAATAGTCTTTTTAAAGGTAATTTGTGCTAATTTAGTAATGCTACTATGAATGGATACACATCAGATTGGCTGTTTCTTTAAAAATAAAGATGCAGTAGAGTCCATTATCATGCATTCTTGGTTATGTTTTTAAATCTCTCATTGACTATTAAACCAGGAAAGGTTCAGTATGCTTCATTGGCAGATTATGTTAGACCACGTTTAATTGAAATTCAGTACTTTGAGCATTCTTACATCTTCAGGTTTATAAAGTGCAGGGTTATGTGTATGTCTGGTTCTATAACTAACATTTAAATTAAACTAATAACTTCTGTGCATGAGATTAAGTGAATAAGAGGTATCCTTAAACGTTAGTATTTCATAGCTTATATCCCGTTACTTCTAACATCTACTTGTTTTCTACATAATTTTCAGCTTTAATAAAAGATTATTAGTGATGTCCTGTATTTTACAGTTGTTTTGAAGATGGTTGTTGGTTTTAAGGGCACCCTACATAGCTGTTCTAAGACTTGATCAGAAGTGCTGCTATGTAATCTTTACCAAATGGATGTTTGTTAGAAAATACAGGTTCACCTAATGCCCTTGTGGAAATGTACTAGCTCTGGACTAAAATTTTGCTGGGAAAGGTTTCTTTGGTCCAGAATGGTCAGAACTAGAGAGAAAGTCCCCCATCTTAGAATAGCAAATAGCCTTGGCAGTGGCTTGATTTAGGCCAGGGACTCAGCATCTTGCTTTGTCACATTCTAGGTGAGTGCCTTTACCACCCAACCTCTTGGTTACTGCTTTTCCACCTTGGAATGGGATTTTTTTTTCTTCCTAATGTTTTTGCTAGATGGGAAAACTTTCCTGCTGTTCAGCATTTTGGCTAACATGTTGACCAGAAATATTGTTAATTGTTTTCATTATTTTAAAAAACCCTTGTGGGATTGAAGATGAGAGATCCCTGTATTGGTTTTGTCACTTCAGTCATTAATGTATACATAATCTTATCCTTAGGAAATTTGTCATCAATAAAAATGACATTAGCCTTGAAGTCCATATCCATAGTCAAAAAAATTCCAAACTGCAAATCAAATTGTGTTTTAATTCAATGTTTCATTATGTGAAAATTTTCAGCAGGTACATGTCTGCCTTTAGCGCGCACAAAAAATATCTGTGATATTTTGGTGGAAATAATGTGCAAGGCTATATTTTGCAAGAAAAGACTAGTTGGCAGTGTCTGTAGATGACAAACTGATTCACAAGGTATGTATTTCTAATGCATAAAACTGAGGAAGTAACACATTCTGTGCAAAATGAAAATACCTGAAATGTCAAAGTCATCCTCCAAGAACTTTTGGAAACGCTACTATAGAATTGGAACCAATTCCATAACGGTAGTCGCAATAAAATCTAGAAATAAAATCTCATTACATTTTTTCTCACAACATGATTTAAGACCACATCCTAAAAAAATCTCATGACTACTTTAATTTTTACAAGTGATTTGTTAACTAATTTTTAAGAGTTCTTGACCTCATTTAGGCATTTCTTGGATGTGGTGCAAGGTTCATATACAGTACTTCCAGCCTCTTACATTACTGTGGTATTTTTCTGTTTGGGAGATGAAGGTTGGAGGTTGTCTGTTGAAGGAACAAAGGCAAGTTACTTCCTATACCTTTTTTGGTCATGAAATGATCTATTTAACTTACTTTTTAGTTAACAGTGCTGTGAGTTGGTGGGTGGTTACACTAGCTCCAGATAAAGTAGAGCTCAAATGCTAGTTACCCAAAGAACCTTGTCTTCCAGTTGAGTTTTAATGAATTTTATTTGGGTCAGCTTTATAATAAAAGCAGACCCCAAAGCATTACTACTGATAACTGTCAGCAGATGCCTTTCCAACAAGATTAGAAATTACATGCACCCTTTTTCTTTATATAGCTTTTTTTTGGAAGCACTTCCCTTTTTGCTTTATACTCCCATTCATTCTATTTGGGAATTCCTTCTAGGTTGAAACTTATGCAGTACCTTTGGTCTTTCATTAGCTATTTGTAATCTGTGATTAATTAGTCTGACACACTTCTTGACTGAGGGTTCTGTAGCACTGGATAATATATATTTTTGCCTTCCCTCCCACATGTGTATTAGTGCTGTGCTCTAGTATGGAAAAGTAAATAATTTTCTTATTTTGGTATTTTGACCTGAGTTACATTTTATGGGTCTCTTCCTGCCCTCTGCAGTATTACCACCTGTGAGGGTATTAAGTGTTTGTTCATAGAGTAGATCCAGAGATACCTGTATAAGTATGGATAGGGTATAGAGCTGTTATTATTTAAATATTCTGTAGTGGTGGTTTTTTATTTGTAGTTGCTGCTTTGAAGACAATTGAATTTTATTTTAATTTGTTCCCATTTAATTTTGTCACTGGTTTCAGTGGGAGAAGAGTTAAATTATTTATGTTGATTTAGCTATATACTGAACAATCAGGTTGAATTCAGTGTGAAAGGTGAATTGTCTACCTGGCTTTTAGGTATTTTTCTTAACGTTTCTTAACACTATTTTTGTTGGTTTTTAATCCATTATTTGAATCTCTTATTATTCTACATGGATGTTCATTTTCATTTGTAAATTCCATTTGTAAATTACATTCTGA